GCGGGCCACACCCCTAGCCCTGGCCAGGCCCCAAGGGACCTACCAGCCTTTTCCCTCTCTTTGAAGCTGGTCTTTTGGAGGGGTGTTTGTTTCCACGTTCCCCCAGGCCTCGTTTAAAAGAGGCCGGCCTGTTGCTTGGCAACGGCTCAAGTGTTTCAAAGGTACGAGGATCTGAGTTCTTGAAAAAAGTGCGATAAGGTGCCAAAAAACGTTCTAAGGGGTCAAGTTTCATCTCAGCCAGGATTGCACGGGATTCGTTCAGGTATAACCGCGCCGTCTTCTGGGCCTGCCACCTACCCAAGACCATTACTCGGTCGAGATTGCCATGTTGGCAAAACCACCATGTAACCCCTCCCCTTCTCAGGGAGTAGGGCCTGAGTTCCAAGGGCTCCAAATGCAGGCTTTCGATGCAGGATTTAAACCGTTTGCGCCAACGGGCCGCGCCCGGGCACAGTTTCTGGTGGGTGGAGGCCAGGTTCATCCAGTGCTGTACAAAGCGGAAAGCAGTATCATGAGTAATGGAAACCGACTCTTGGACACCTGCTCGTTTCCCTGCCTTTGTAAGGCCTAAGGCCACTACAGCTGTGCGCAACTTGGTGGAAATTTCTACTCTTGAGCGAACCACATCAAACAGTTCACCTGTTCGCAGCATTCCGTAAAAGCACATCAGTAAACTAGTGGCGAAAGCAAAATGCCCATTGTACAGACCCCATCCTACCACGCTATGCAGTACCACTTCGGGTATTGGCGGAGCACGATTCGGAAGCTCGTGCGTGACCCAAGTCTTGACCAATCTCCAGGCTCCCGGGAGATGGCCCCGGATTTTTGCATCGTGGTCTTGTAAAGAAGCCAGGGTGTTGGCGGCCAGACCACGCCCCTCCCCCGAGAACCACAGATGCTCTATGTACTCCATGACCAAAGGGTCTAACTGCTCGCGCTTGGTCGGGAGCTGAAGGCCTTCGGCCTTGAGGAAAGAAAGAAACCGGTTTAGTGCCTTGTCATACCGGAGGCGAGTGGACGGTTGCACAGTGAGCTGACGAAGTGTACCGAGCTTTTGCCTATCTCTTGCTCTGCTAGTCCTTCAAAGAGTGTTTTTGGCATGGCGAAATTTGGTCCGTACCGCCCACCGCGACGGACGATCCGCCGGGTTGAGGTCGGTACTCACGTACCCCCATAAACCAACCACATTGTGAGCTAGCAAGAGCGATTTGATCCGGCAAAGCGTTCTCCTCAGTCGTCTGCTTGACGTCCGTCCTCTGGTCATACTGTGCAGGCATACCAAGGAATCTGTAAGGTGTAGGATTCGGCAGTCATGATTCTGCAGATGCTCCAAACGCCATCGAAGGCACGCCAGGGATGCACGTAGTTCCAGGGAATTTATATGTTCACCCCGTCCCCGCCATTTCCACCCTGAGACCACCTTCCATTTCCACATCTTAGGATTCACCGTATGGCGTAGACGTTGATGTCCTTGGATCTCATCCGGTGTACTGGTCAGATCTCATGTGACCCTTTTGTGGAGACTAAGCGCCCCAGCTGCTGGACCAAACGCTGTTCTGAAGTTTCGTCCGGATGAAGGTCCGGCCGGAGAGGCGGTCGCATCAACCGTGACTGGATGTAGGGATTTCCTTCAACGTCCAAGCGGTCCAATACCTCGGCTGGTGATAAAGCAGGGCAAAATCCCCGAGGGCCAAGCAGTTGCCCGATCAACCACGTCACTACCGGTACAGACCAAGCATTGCCAACCAGGTACTCCTCTTTCCTCCGCTGGGACTTCGGAAAACACATCTGGGTGTATCCCACTGGTAGTCCCATCATGTACTCCCTTTCTTGAATGGATGGCAACCGATATTCCCCTTTGCGGTTTTGTGGGCAATGGCGAGGTAGATATTGGTATGGGGGAAAGCGATGTTTATCTTGTTCCCATCGCCTCACTGTCTCCTCATCACAGGCACTAAGGCCCGCAGGGCGGTGTCCCCGCGACGTCCGCGGCCTCGAGGTCGTGAAAGTAGGAAATGCTTGGGCGGCGTCGACTTTCATCCATCCAGCCTCAACCGATTTCTCCCATATATGCGACTTTGAATCGCCACACCCGGATCGCCCTCACTGATCTCCCAAGTTACCCAATACAATCGTGGTCGATTGCACCATGTCAAAGTTCCTGCGTCACATTGCCAGGGACTAGCCCCGAAGCTGTCCGACATGATGTTCTTGTCCTTCTCATCCATGGACGCTACGCTTTCGATCAGCGTGTGCGTTTGGGCCCAAGGGAAATGGGCCTGTATGAGCTTTGCAATACGCTGAACGTGGATGAAGAGGCACGATCTCTCATCGCGCAGTGCTCCCTTCCTCTGGCTGTTCAAACCTGATACCCCCTGACAGGGTGGCCCGGCCCCGATGAGTACCAGTTCAACCTGCCCGAACGTGAGCGACCATTGCACCTCCGTCACATCGACGATGTCTGAATAGTGAAGCGTGCCCGGGAAGTGATGTTCCACTACCCGCCGAGCTGCAGGGTCCTTTTCAATAGATCCACTTCGCATCCAAGGAGGTCCAACGCGGTCCTCAAGCACCCAATTCCATCGAAGAGCCCTACGCTAAGTACACGGCCTCCTCGTGATCCCTGCATCTCACAGGGCCCAGCCCCGTTTGCCACCTGTCGTCCAAACGCGGTCAAGCTCGTGGCCACGCACACACCGCCTCCATGTTCCGAAGCATCCGAGCAGGTCACGGTAGGGTTCAACTCAAGGCGGAAGTTCAGCCGACAAAGAGGTATCAAGCACAAAAACCTGTAGATTTCCAACTTCACGGACTCAGGCAACGGCAGGGAATGGCGCCCCGCGTGGTTGAATGATTCGATGTACCTCCAACACTGGTTCAGGCCCCCGAGCAACTGTCTTCGGAAAGTGGCGAAGTAGACCAGCCCCCCACATACTACCTGCATTTGACGTTGGGTGGCTCGGCTTTCCTGCATCAGCTTGTAGGCCATGGTGACATACTTGGACAGCTTTTGACTCTTAGGGTACGCTAGCCCCCGCACCCCGTCCACCACGGCACCTTGTACCTCGGCAACCGCCTGCCGGGAGACTGCCTTTCCCGGGTGGCGTGGGAGCCCCCAAGATTTGTATTCCTCGCGGAGGGCCTCCACCTCAGGGGCCACTTCCCCCGCTGAAACCTCCAACAGCTCGTGAGGGAACTTTTCGAGAAGATCATAGTTGTCGAGATACACTCTCCAGCATGTCCGTGCGTCCGGCAGTACTTTGTCTTTTCTAATCTCATTGTGTTGCGCGCTCTGTGTGCGGCTGTGCGCCAGTGATCGATGGACCAGAACCCTGTGAACGCGCTGTGCGATTCCGACACTGTTCAAAAACCCCATCGGCAAGACCTTCGAACATGGGTAGCAGACCTGTCCTGCGAATTGTTCTGGCACCAGGCTGGCAGGCAGAGCTTTGTTGAAGCACAAAAAAGGGAAACCAGCAGGGAGGCAGACCCAGGGTATAGAAAAAGCACCGCAAGTCTTCGCTGGAAATTACCAGATTTTCCCCGGCTTCAATATGAAAAGGGGACATCCCAAACCAATGTCCCCGGCCATGGGTTGGCACAGCTCGTTGAGCGGCACGAGATTCATGATGAGTCTGTAAATAGGAATCCCATCAGCCTCTTCGTTTTTCTCAACTCCAAAGAGCCCATTGAGCAATAAATGGGAGCCTACTCGAGGTAAGGCGGGCTTGATGTTTGACCAACTGAATTTCAAGGCAGTTTTGACCTATAATCAATAGTCCGTGTACGAAAGAACTCCTCCCACTCAAACCCCGCCGTCGTCTCCCGAATGTCCTTCATCCGAGCGACGTCGTCCAACAGGCCACGAATGACCCGCGCCTGCATCGTAGTAACTGGCTGAAGTTGATGAACACCATCTTCTTCCTGACGATTTTTGGGTTGGCACCCCCACAATGAATTCAAAGCAGTGCAAACGGCCATCAACCAATCTGTACACCACAACTGACGGTCTTTGGCAAAAGGTGAAAGTAGATCGCGGGAGGTTGGAAGAGGGAAAGTATCACGGCCCCTGACTTCTTGGCCCTGATCAGAACCCCCATCCGTGGTCTGGCTGCAGAGCTTCAAAACCCCCTGCAATCCACCCAAAACAGCCGTCCCCATCTCCCAAATCTGTAAACCGCAAACATCAGCGAGAGCGCCTGCCTTTTCGGAACCATCTCGGATCAGGGGGTCCGGCCCCGCTTTGTTGACACGGGCTCGATCGCAACATTTCCGTGCGTTCTGCCCTTCGAAGTGCCCGTAGGAAAAGTGATAGCCGGCGGAGGAGGGAATGGGATGTCTTCCCTCGGCAGCCCCTTCAAAGTGGCGCCACCAGCCATAGAATCGTAGTGCGAACTTCCACAAGGCCTCCAGCCTCGTTGAACCGTGTGACCATCAGGGTCGACCTCCCCCGCTCCCGACGTCGGGGTCATACTCGATGCTCTGACTCTCTTCTCAGGGCTGTTCAACCCCGCTTCATGCCTCCTCATGTCTCCTTTTTCTGCTTGTCTTTGCCCTTCTTGCCTTTGCCTTTTCCCTTGTCCACTTTCTCGCCCTTGTGAGCGTTCTTTCCGCTCCCCTTTGACCACCAAGTCGATGTCTGATGCGCCTGCGACTCCGCCTTGTGCTCCGTCGTGGCGATCCGAAGTTCCTGCCTCGTGGATAGTGTAGCCGTATCGCTGGGCAAAAGCTCGAGTCGGTGAGCGGAGGCCCAATTGAGCCCGCCGATCTGGGCTTCCAACGACTTCACCCTCTGGATCAACGTGTCGAGGGCAGAGGGCAACTGGCCGCGAAGAATTTGATCGCACACTGTGCAAAGCGTACGCAGTTCCCTCGACATAGGGCCAGAAACTCGCCGGCTGAGCATCTGGCGGTAGTACCTCAGCAAAGTAGGAACCCAGCCTTCGGGCTGGACTGTTTCCTGTCCGGCTTCTAGCAGCATCAACTCCTGCATGTCCTCGATCGCCGCTGCGGAAAGCACACCAGGGAAGCTCACCCCGATCTTGTGAGGCTCTCCAAATATTGACTCTCCCTTCTGAGGAGCCTCGCTGCCGCTGCTGCTGTCTGATTTGCTCCTCCCCTTCTTCTGTGCATACTTCTGGGCCTTCCTCTTCACGCGATTTCTGACTTTGCGAGAAGGATCCAGGCCGCTTCGCCCGAACATAGTTTTCTGGTCCACCATCACGAAATTCTTCTCCTCGCTTGTGCTGCGGCTTGTTGAACTCTTCACAGGGCTTTCTCCCCCGCCTGCATCCACCTTCTCCTTTCGCCTGACTTTCTGCTTTTCTCTTCCTCTGGATCGGCTCCCTGGACTGCGATCTCTTCTCTTTCTCTTCTTTTCCGAGCTTCCTGAACTCCTGCGCCTTCTTCTCTCTTTCTTTTTCTTCTTCTTCTTGTCGACCTCCTTCGTGGTGCCCTTTCCGTCCGCGGCTTTGACCTCGCCTGGGTGAACGCCTCCTGCGACAGGGTCCGGGAGATCCTCCATCCGTCCCCGAAGGCCTGCCAGTTCGTCGCTGCCCCGGTCGACCGCGCTGACCAGCACATCCCTCCATGGCAGGTCGGCAACTTCGTGAAGTCCTCCGATGGTCCGTGCCTCCTGACAATGTAGAAGGCATGGGCCAACAGCTTCTTGGTTGCACTCGGCTGTGCACATGTGTACCTTCGCGAGTTGATGTCCTCCGGTGGCCCACGTCAGCAGGCTCTCTAAGTTGGTGCCGGTGAGCCTGAGCATCAAATAGCGGCCTGAGATGTCCTTGTACTCCTCGATGACCTTCCCCGTGAACTGACAGGGATTGTCGTAGTACTTGGCCTTCAGGCCGTGAACCATGGTCCCAATGGCCACGTCCAGCTGCACCACAGGGCTGTCCCCCCGTCTTGCATCCTCTGCCAACGCTGGTCGCCTCAACACTCCTCTTCGCCGAGGCTCTGCGGCTGGGCGGCGAGCTACTTTGCCATCCCTTGCCTTTCCCCTTCCCGCGGCCTGAGCCGCGGTTCGAATAGTATTGCCCTCGAAGGACGTGTTTGTAACCCTTCCACCTCGGTGCTCTTCGGCTGTCCTCCTCGTAGTAACCTGGAGGGGAGTGCGAAGGTGTCCTTGGTCTCCTGGGTAACGGCTTCCTAGCCGATGGCTTTGCTGTCCTGCTGAGCTTGTACTTCTTGTCTGACTCTTCGTCGTCGTTGACTTCTGGCTGAGGCTCGTCTGCCTCGACTGGCTCCTCCTCCGGAGTGCCTCCAACCACTTCCCCTCTGGACTTGGCCGCCTCGGATTCCACCTCTGTATTGCCAGGGCTTTTTCCCCGAGACTTCGGTGTGTCCTCTTTCGACCTTCTTCTCCTCGATCGGGTCCTCTCACGCCTTGACCTGGTACGAGATCGGTGTCTACGGTGGTGGGACTTGTCCTTGCTCGCCTTCGCGTCCACAACCGGTTCCTTCTTCTGGTCCTTCTCGGCCTCCGACTCCTTCTTCACAGGCACTCGAGCAGATCCAGCTGTAGTGTCAACGTCTCCCGGATGGATACCTTTGACAAAGGGATCTTGCCCCGATTCACGTCCCTTGCCAGGGATAGGCTCCCCGTCAACTGTCACCAACCCTGCCGTTCGATCACTCTCGAATCTCTCGCAGGCTGACTCGACCGTGTCCACCACACGCCGGAGGTAGGTGAAGAGCTCTTGAGAGGAGGCCACCGGTACACGCGTGAAGACCAACTGCTGAAGCCTCACGCACAAATAGCAGGGATTACAGTACCCCGAGCTTCCGGGTGTCAGACGAAGTCGAGAGTTGCACCCTCGACAAGAGGATATCCACCCTTGAAGCCGAAACACTACGGAACAGAATATAAACGGTGACCTACTCTTTAATCCCGGGGGCGGGAGACCATATATTTTTATTTAACTATATTTATATAATGATATCGTTCTTTACCCGGGAATCAAACACATGAATGTCGAAGAAACAATAAAATGCGACTACGGTTCTCGGGCTGTAGGCGAAACCAATTGTATGAGTTCAGCACACTTCGCCCTTCACATCACGCATGTTAGACTGCGTCACGCGCCCATCACCCGGCAAAAAGCTAAACACAGCGTACGCCCGAAGAGGCGTTGGCCTTGACGACATCATGATGCGCAAGATACCCAATAAAGCCGTCATAGTGGAGTTGCTCTGCGCACCCAAGCCATCTAGAAGATGTCTGCCTCAGCGCTGCCCCAATATGCCCTCCCATGAAAGAACTGAGACGATGAGGCTTGGCTTAAACCCCAATTGTGTAGATCTCGTGCATCTTACACAGCTTACAGTGAAGATTGACGGTACAGTCACTTGAATGACTGCGAAGACTCAGACGGTCACCCAGGACGTTTAAAGACTGCACTGTTTGTGCCTGCTTTCAAGCTTATCCTTCCATCGTTCATTGCTGTCAGGAGATTTGGCCTATGCCCAAGCTGGACCTTGACAACTAGGTGAGCGTTCTTGATCTCACAATGTTCATGGTACTTTTGCGTCGGATGCCCACTTTTATTCTGATACGCTTCGCTGCACTTTCAATCTGCTTCCCTTTGAGCCCGTCGTGACCTAGAGCATCAAAACTCAGTCAGCTCAAATGTCCTCTTCCTTTTGCGCCTCTCACTTCTCTGCACAATGCATCAATGTATATGCCTTGTCAAGCTTTCTGATGGATTCTCAAGGCCTTTGGGGGCACAAAATGCTCTGAAAAAGACCAGTGCCTCACGGCTGCGCAATGAATTTGAAGCCACGGGGCAGAAGGAAAGCTTGGCTACGCGCAGTCTTGACGATTCCTCTCCTCCAGGACACTCCCACCTTTGCGGCCTTTTATGCAGCAATAATAGAGTGAGAGGGAGGCACTTGCTCAGCATACACCAAACACAAGACAGGACGAAAGGGCCGAAGGCAAATCCAAAAGAGCCACAGGCCAAGGAGAATGCAGGGAGGAGAACTCATAGGTGATACTGCGTCGGACACGAAAGGGAGCCGGAGAGCGAAACAAAAGTGGAAGCCCTCTCCTAGACAGCTCCCCAGCAAAGCATCCACTTGAGGGTGCATAGAAAGAATTTGCAGTTATTGACCACATGTGTGTGTACATTGTGTACATATAAACATATGTGTATATATATATATATACGACGAGTGTAGGCCCTCGGGCAATATATTTCCCATAAGCGCAACAAACAATGGAAATGATGCTGGGCATGAGGGCGGGCATGATAGAAAAATACTTTCACACAAAAGGCTGCGCGACATTTGGCGAAGGCACAGGGGATGCTAACGAACAGTGAAAACACATAGAATCTAATCTAGGGGTTCCTCCAACAGGCGCCGTACGACTTGAATTGCAAAAAGAAACGCTGAATGGGTATCATTGCCTAATTACATCGTCCTTCGACCAGCACAAGTCTTGCGAGATACTGGAAGCCATCGAATACAAACTCCCCTGCGGCTCCGGCAGTGCCACATAATCATGTGTTTCGAAGGCGCAACGATGTGCAACATTGCCTGGATTCAAGGCTCGTCGAGCGACAACGTGAAATCCGATGCATTTCTTGGTGTTGGCATTGTATTGGCATTGAATCAACACCCCATCATAAACCTTTTACAGCACAACTTGTCGCATGCCGGGGCGACTAGCCCTTCTTTCACTAACGAGACCCGGGGGCGGTGCACAAAGCACAGCTGGACCGCTGCACAACCACAAGGATTGTCGGGAGAAGCTGTCAGCCTGCTCCCAAGAAAAACTACTGACGGTGCCAGTGCGCGCCAGTCTCAACTACATGCTGCTGTTGCGACATCTTAGACATCTTACATCTGTTTCCAACCACGTCTCGCCTGCACAAAATATGTCAGTCGAGCCAGGCTTTGGTGTAAGTCCCATTCCTTAAGCGGCAAGCACCACGCTCAAGTAGCGGACAGTTCTAGCCGTTCAATGCCCCATTTGCTCTCCAAATGTCTTGATCCACATGGCGGTCGGCAAGGTCCTTCAGGCAGAGAGTCTCAACCGTGCGCTGCGTGCACAAAGTTTTGAGGGAGCCGAACCACATGAAAATTGTGTTTTTCTTGTCCCCCGTGCTGGCTTAGCGGCGTTGCTCGAGCTACGGGGTTCCCCCGATGCATCTGCACGGTAAAAACGGTAAAAGTGAAAAAACGATTTTTCCCCAAACAGCGTGGGCACACTGAGGGGGTTCTTACGGTAGGTGAAAAGCAAATGTGCTTAGATCGCTGTTCCGCGCGGCCGTGTCCGGCAAATTCGTTGCTATTTACAGTACATTCATGGTCTCGACATCGTCCATGTGCACTTCGACTGCACAGGCTCGCAGAATCTGGGTGTCTGCGGCGGGTGCTTCTAACGACTGCATTCTCGTTGTGACTGTGGCGCCGTGCGCATTTTCGCACCTGGTGATCACTTTTCGTGGCAGGCGCAAGGGAAACCTCGTGTTTTGGTGCTCCAAAGTCGACTTTTCGTGACAGGTGCAAGGATGCAGTTTTCGTGGCAGGCGCAGCACTTTGGACATGGTGGTGATCGTCGAGGAGCTCAGATTTCGTGACAGGTGCAGTGAATCGTGGCTTTTGGACATGTGGCTCGTTTGCAGATTTCGTGGCAGGCACAGCACTTGGTGAACCTCGAAGTGCAGATTTCGTGGCAGGCGCAGCACTTGGTGAACAAGTGAAGTTTTCGTGGCAGGCACAGCACTTGCTGAACCTCGAGGTTCAGATTTCGTGGCAGGCACAGCACTTGGCGAACCTGGACGCGCAGATTTCGTGGCAGGCACAGCGCTTGGTGAACCTCGAAGTGCAGATTTCGTGGCAGGCGCAGCACTTGGTGAACAAGTGCAGATTTCGTAGCAGGCACAGCACTTGCTGAACCTCGAAGTTCAGATTTCGCGGCAGGCGCAGCACTTGGTGAACCTCGAAGTGCAGATTTCGTGGCAGGCACAGCACTTGGTGAACCTCGAAGTGTAGATTTCGTAGCATGCGCAGCACTTGGTGAAGCTCGAATCGAAGCAGGCGCAGTACTTTGCGAAGCTCGAAGTGCAGATTTCATGGCACACACAGCACTTTCTGCTTTTAGATGCTCACTCTCACGCTCTCACTCTCACTCTCACTCACCCTCACTCTTCTACTCTCATTCTCACTCACTCTCCCACTCTCACTCTCACTCGCACTCACTCTCACTCCCACCCACACTCACTCACCTTCGCTCTCACTCACACTCGCTCTCACTCTCGCTCACACTCGCTCTCACCCACGCTCGCTCTCACTCACACTCATTCTCACTCACACTCGCGCTCACACTCACACACTCCCTCTCTCACTCACACGCACGCTCCCTCACACTCTCACTCTCCCACTCTCGCTCACACTCACACTCCCTCACACTCTCACTTTCACCCCCCCACACTCACTCTCACTCTCACTCTCACTCACACTCACTCACCACCACCGCCACCGTCACCACGACCACGCAAGTGGTCGCTCCGCGAAAAAATGTCTAAAACAAAGACAGTGTTTTGGCCGTTTTGATCGCGCGAGTGGTTAGAGAAGGCACCCCCTGGAAAGAGAAACAAACACATTTTTTACACCGCGGATTGTTAAAATTATCCTGCAAGAGACCCCAAACAGTGTGCGTGTGTGTGTGTGAGGTCTTCAAGCAGAAAGTCTAGAGTCTAGAGATCTAGACGCATTGGGGTCCAGAGAGGTGATGGCGGCGACGAAGGTGGGGATCATGGCGACGGCGGCGGCGGTGGTGAGTGAGTGTGAGTGTGCGTGTGCGTGTGAGTGTGAGTGAGTGAGAGGGAGAGTGAGTGTGAATGTGAGTGTGAGTGAAGAGTGAGTGTGAGTGTGAGCGTGTGTGAGTGAGTGAGAGTGAGGGTGAGAGGGAGGAGCCTCCTCCTCCTCCGCCTCCGCCTCGCTTCAACAGCAAGTGGCAGATGGCAACGTTCTCCGACGGACCTCAACCGCCAGCTCCCGACGGCAGTGTTCTCCGCCAGACCTCAGTTGCAACCGCCAGCTCCCGACGGCAGTGTTCCCCGCGGACCAACCGCCAGCTCCCGACGGCAGCGTTTTCCGTCGGACCTCCACCGCCAGCTTGGGACGGCAGTGTTCCCCGCCGGACCTCAACCACAACATGCAACCACAAAGACACATCCACAGGACACAGCCGCAACACACAACCACGACGCACAACCACAGCGCGCAACCACAACACACAACCGCAAACACATCACCGCAAACACAACTACAAAGACACAATCGCAAACGACAGACACATCCACAGCACACAACCACATCGCACAAGCACAGCGCACAACCACAACACACAACCATAACGCACAACTACAGCACACAACCACAACGCACAACCACAAACACACCGCCACAAACACAACTACAAAGACACAATGACAAGCGCGCAACCACAAAGACACATGCACAACACAACCACAACGCGCAACCACAGCACACAACCACAACACACAACCGCAACGCACAACCACAGCACACGACCGCAACGCACAACCGCAAACACATAACCGCAAACGCAACTACAAAGACACACTTAGATGGGCTGGGGTGTTGCTAACAGGTTATAGGTTTTAAGGTAGTTAGTAATGCATTGTTAACTATATGGTAAACTCTTGGTAACTACTTGTTAACTAGTTATAATGTATTGCCAAACTTATAAGAATTACTATCTCTTACCAAAAATTAACTAATTATGTTATTTTACTTAAAGAGCTAGCAAAGTTAGTAACTGTTAGCTAATTTTTGACCAATGATTTACACAATTACATTGTAATGATTTAGATTTTGTTGTTATGAGAAAAACAACATTTGCACAAAGAGAAAAGTGTTTTTTCTTTAGAAAAAAGATACAAAGCAAAAAATAAATAGTGCTCTGTGAAGATCAAAAGCTGGCAGCAACAAGTAAGAAACAGCAGCAAACACAATATGGTTTGATTGGGGGCATGTGTGAGATTATTGCGAACATGCTATTGTCAATTTTGTTTTTCAAAAGCACTTGGTGCTGCAATTTGTTTTGATTGAAGCACTTGGTGATTTCCTTTGGAGGAAAACCACACCATTTTCAGAATCTATAGGCCAGCTGGTGAATGATTTTGCCAGTTGAATGGTCTGGACACCATGCATTAGCTGTTTACAACTTAGGGATTGTTGGCCCAAAAATAATTTGCAGTAGCATGGCAGAAGTTCCAGCTGCAATGGTGGAGATCACTCCTACTTTTGCTTTGTCCTTCAATGGTGCAAAGCCTATTGCCATACCACCCCACTTCATTGTCCAGGACTGATTTGTTTGTTCCTGGCTAAATGCTTTCTTTGAAGCAACACATGTTGGTTTTGGCTGGTGAATGGCATTGCATGTGGTTCATTGATAGCTGAAACATTGCAGGACATCAATGACAACAACTACTTGAAGATCCAAGGCAGCTCCCCTTTGATCAGCAGATTGATTTGTGGGTGCACTTTGAAAGGCCACTCATTCTCGAACTCCACTACTTTCAAGGAATTGAAGCAGAAGAGGAACCAGAAGCTCATGAGTGGGGACAAGAAGAAGCTCAAGACTGAACAGGTGGTTGAGATCAGAATTGGCTCCACAGATGTATCCATCCTGTGCCCTGGGAAGAGATCTGCATCAGCAGACCTCTTGGTCTTGATGGAAGAAAATCAGCTGAGCTGTATCTTCGACCTTCTGAAAAGTGATTGCAAAGACACTGGCAAAGCCAAAAGGTCTTACAAGAAGGGCAACAAGATGCCTGAAGCTGCTGAAGAGTCAGAGATGTCAGAGTAGTTGCAACTTTGAAGCTGGAGCATCAGCCTGCTGGGTCAAAAATGATGGCAGTTTAAGCTTCTGTGAATGGTTTTTACATGAATGCATGATGGCCAACCACCACCTGCTGGCATTGAAGCATGTGTCTTTTGATTTGCCTGCAAGGGCTGTGGTTTCAAATTTTAGCCCAAGGCCTCAGCAATTTGTTACTGGGCATGATGGGGTGTTGTTTGCCTTTCAGGGCTTTTGCATTCTTTTTCAACTGCAGAGGAAAAGTTTCCCCTTGCTTTTGTATTATCCACAAGTTTTCTCAAGCTTGAAGCTTGACAGTGGGGAATAGATTTCCAACAGCCATAATGAACCACATGTGTAAACAGCAGCACCACAAAACAACACAGCTTCTCTGACTTCATCCTTGTTGTAGTTCTTTGCAGCCATGTCCATTGCTCCTGAAACCATAAAAGAGATCAGTGGCTTGCTGAGCCCTACTTGCACTTTGGGCATCAACATCAGGCTGCAAAAGGTCTTGACTACTTTGGAAGGAGCTGGCCTGGTTTACAGTAGCTGCCTTGCTCCTGGAGCTTTTCTGCGCCATCCTCAAAACAGAGGATCCTCCATGGTCAATGCCTTCAATGCGCACAAGAAAGGGCATGACATTTTGGAAGCAGGGGTGAAGGCAGAGCTGCTTCCACCCAACTCCTTGGCAGTTGAGGTTGCCATTGATTCCAAAGTGAAAGAGAACCAGTTTAAGTTGAACATGAAGATGGTCTCTGACTCCAATGGCCTTCTTGCTCCTGTTACTGGTCATGAGCGTTTCTTGACACTTGCCAACTCCCATTTCGTTCAATGGGCCAGGGCCATGGACAATGGCTGCAAAGGGCCTGATGGAAACCCTCTCACTGTGACCCCTGACATGAAGCCATTGCTCAGAGAAGGCTGGCAGTGGAGAATCATTTCTAGTGAGGCTGAAAAGCTGTGGCCACAGCTTCCTGCATTTGCAGCTATGGCAATGAACAGCCACAACACCAACCAGATTACATCCAATGAATTGGAAGCTATGATGCAACTTGCAGATCTTTACCAAGCAGGCATGAAGATGGATGAGGCAATCATTGCTGTTGAACACAGCTCACCATCCTGCAAGAAGTACATGCATGATGTCGCATACTTTTGCAAGATGTACTCTGGAGGGGA